ACTATATTCCAGTATTCCTGATGAACATGGATACAGATTTTCTCAATACAATGCTAGCAAACCATATCCATCAATACATTAAAGGAATCATTCGCCATGGTAAATTATTCCTGGGTTGGAAGGGTGTTTCAATATTTGCCAAGCAATCAAGGTGACATCACATAATAAAAGAAGGGATAAGAATCACACAGCCATTTCAATAGATGCAGAAAAAGCATTTGACAAACTACAACATCCATTCATAAAAATCCTCAGTAACATAAGGGTAGAGGAAACATATCTCAACATCATAAAGGCCATATGTGAAAAACCCACAGCTAATATCATCATCAATGGGGGAAAACTGAAAGCTTTTCCTCTATCATCAAGAACAAGACAGGGATGTTTACTCTTACCACTGTTAGAAAACTTATAGCAATTAGACAACAAAATTAGACAACAAAAGGAAACAAAAGGCATTCAAATCAGCAAAAAAGAAATCAAACCTTCACTATTTTCAGATGACATACTCCCTATAGAAAACCAAAAAGAGTATACCAAAAAATGGCTAGAAACTCATTAACAAATTCAGTAGTCTCAGTCTCAGTCTCAGGATACAAAGCCAATATACAGAATTCTGATGTATTTCTATACACCAATTATGAAGCAGCAGAAAAAGAAATTAAGGAATCAATCCTATTTATAATTACCAAAAATGATAAAATACCTGAGAACAAACCTAGCGAAAAACGAAAAAGACTTATACTCTCAATTATAAAATACTGATGAAAGAAACAGAAGATGACAAAAAGAAATGAAAGATATTACATACTCATGGATTGGAGGTACACATATTGTCACATATTTGACATATTGTCAAAATGTCTATATTACCTGAACCAGTCTACAGATTTAATGCAACTCTAATCCAAATACAAAATACAGGGCAGCTCTGGTGGCACACCGGTTTAATGCCGCCTGCAACCCAGGGTGTGATCCCGGAGACCCGGGATGGAGTCCCACGTCGGGCTCCCTGCATGGAGCCTGCTTCTCCCTCTGCCTGTGTCTCTGCCTCTCTCTCTCTCTCTCTCTCTCTCTCTCTCTCTCTGTCTCTCTCTCTCTGTGTGTGTGTGTGTGTGTATCTCATGAATAAATAAATAAAATCTTAAAAAAAATACAAAATACCAATAGCACTTTTCACAGAGCCAGAACAAATAATCCTAAATTTGTATGAAACCACAAAAGACTCTGAATAGCCAAAGTAATCTTGAAAAAGGAAAGTGAAGCTGGAGAAATTATAATTCTGGACTTCAAGTTATTTATTTATTTATTTATTTATTTATTTATTTATTTATTTATTTATTTATTTTGGACTTCAAGTTATATTACAAAGCTAACGGACATGTGAAAAGAAGCTCTACCTCATTCATTATCAGGGAATACAAATTAAAACTACAATGAGATATCACCTCACACCATCAGAATGGCTAAAATGAACAAGGCAGGTAACAGCAGATGTTCGCATGGGTGTAGACTAAGGGGAACCTTCTTCCATTGTTGGTGGGAATGATAATTGGTGCAGCCACTCTGGAAAACAGTATGGAGGTTCCTCAAAAAATTAAAAATAGAACGACCCTATGACCCCGTAATTGCACTACTAGGTATTTATCCAAAGGAAACAAAAACACTGATTCAAAGGGATACATGTCCCGATGTTTATAGCAACATTTTCTACGATAGCCAAACTATGGAGCAGCCACGTCCATTGACTGATTGACTGATGAATGGATAAAAAGGATGTGAGATTATATATATGTAACATATATTCATAGAATATAGATTCATATAATATATCATATGATATACATGAATATTACTCAGCCAGTAAAGAAAAATCTTGCCACTTGCAATACTAGGAATGAAGCTAAAGAGTGATTATGATTTTAAACAAAATAAGTCAGTTAGAGAAAGACAAATACCATATAATTTCACTCATATGTGGAATTTAAGAAACAAAATAAAGGAGCAAAGGGTAAAAAAGAGAGAGGGAGGCCAAACAAGAAACAGAGTCTTAACTGTAGAGAACAAATTGATGGTGTGGGGCTGGGTAAATACATGATGGAGATAAGGAGTGGACTTATTGCAGTAGTGTCGTATGCAAGTGTTGAATCACTATACTTTACACCTGAAATTAGTATTATATTGTATGTTTATTAGCCAGAATTTAAATGAACACTTAAAAATAAATAAGGGATATTAATTATAGCATCGGGAACATAGTCAACAATATTGTTTTAACTTTGCATGGTGACAAATGGTAACAAGCTATACAATGGTGAATATTTCATAATGTATATAAAGTTTGACTCACTATGTTGGACACTGGAACTAATATAATATTGTATGTGAATTATGCATCATTAAAAAATAAAATTGTCACCTAGTGTTGCAAAGAAAAGAGAAACAGATCAATAGAAACATAGATGCAAAAAAAAATAATTGCATTTTAAAAGTACATTATCTGCCTCCTCAATATTTCTAAAAATCTAAAAATACCTTCATCTTTTTAACTGAACTCTATTTCTGAAACTAATGATACACTATATGTTAATTAACTGAATTTAAATAAAATAACATTTTAAAAAATTACCTTCATCTTCCCTTATGTCATTAGGCTTTTGTCATTTAGAAGAAATATTTCTATTAAAATACAGACAACTAGTTATCATGGGAGGATGAATCAATGAATATTTGAGTAATATTAATATTTAAATCTCTGCCATGGTGTTATTGTCCAATATTTTTTGATTTCCTTCCCAGAAATGTATTCTATTCAGCAGAAATCTAAATAGTTTATTTACAGATAATATAATTGAATGCAGGTGTATTAAAAACTGAGGCAGAAAAATAGAGAAGTTTGGAAATTGATGTCATTGTGACAGTGACAATAAAGTTGAAAATGTAAGTCTTCGGAATTAGTGTCAAATATCAGTAAATACCTGTTACTGGGACGACAATTTTAGAGTATTTTCAGTATAATAGAAGTGACATAGCAAGGGCACAAGAAAGAAGTATGTGATGATAATTTAGCAATCCTACCTCAAATTAAAACTTAAACATCAAAGACATTTCTCACACGGTCTAGATTCTCAGTGTTTGTGATACAGATGAAATTAAGTGAACAGCCTGGGTGGTCAAGTCTCTGACCCCAATATCATCTGGAATATAAAAATTTCTCAGAGACACATGCCAATTAAATGACACAATACAAGCTGAAAACTGCTACATTCTGGAGGTGTGTGATGAGATAAAGTGTCTTCAAAGTAGCCCAAGTGTAAGAATTTCCTGTTCAAACTTTAAGTGACACATTGATAAGAAATCAACTTTTTCCACTATTACCTCACTCTGAGCTCTCACAGGGTCAGCAGTCTGTGAAGACCACAGATATTACCTGTTTACAAGAGTAACAAGGTCTCCTATGGGAAGATGCATGACTTCCTGGCCAACAGAAGGTAAGTAAGTAGCTCTACTGGCCTCTCTAATAGCCAACTTTTAGTGGGAGATTTCAAATGTTAGATGGGATGTACCTGAGGTATAATTAATATACAATCAAATCACAAAGAACATTGGTGTTTTTATTCTAACAATTCAGGGTGAAAAATAAGAATAAATATGAAATATCCTAGAAAATTTCTTAAATTATTTAAAATATTACCTATGGTGAAGTAATCAAGTGTATACAAACACACATAGTTGGGTCTATAAATCAATATAATGTCAAGTGAAATCGCATAAACATCATGATAAGAAACAGTTAATTTTGGATTTGTCATCAGTCTAGATATAATTACATGTAAGATTTGATATTTAGCTCAGGCTTTAAAAATGAACTCTTAAAATGAATTCAAAGAGTGAGGTAAAACGTTATTCCTCATGCATTTACTTAGGTAAATGAAACCAGTTTGGTTTATTATAAAAAGCAGGAAGAAGTTCCTTCTGTAAAATGCTACTTTAGATTTAACTGTGAATAGTCAAAAGACTTTTTTTAAAAAAATTGAGTAAAACTTGGCAAAAAATTCCATACTGAAAGGTACTACTGTCTAATGAGTTATGTTGCATCATCTAATGAATATGAATCAGTAATTATAATGTGGCTATTGTGTTAAAAATTAAAATAACTAATATATTGTTGAGTTTATGAAAGCTGGATTGAATAGTAAGTGATTTATATGCATTAAAAAATTACACCTTTTTACTCCAATTTTAGATTAGTAAACTAAATTGCTAGACATGAAGTAACTTTTTAAAGATCACATGAAATTTGAGAGCCAGAAGTAATTGTAGATCTCACTGACTCAAAACTCATTGGTAGAATTATTAATTTACACTTATTTGATTTGTTAAAATAGCTCACCCAACCAAAGCTACCCTCACAACTGGGACAGCTGTAGGATCTTTCTGGAAGTTTGTGACAACAGTATTCTTCCATAAATGAACTACACTTTTATCTATCATTTTATGGTTTCATATTTTGCCATTAATGCCAATTTCTGGTGTTAAATTAGTAGTTTTCAAAACATAGCTTTTGTTATTTTGTTTCAATATTGTTAAGGTTTGGGATAAGTTTAGTGTATCGCATGACATTTGAACATATATAATTTTTCTTTTAAAATTTAATTTCTCAGAACTACAATTATTCAAAATAAAAGATCATTGATAAGAACACATCACCTTCCAATAAATAAATGTCATCAAATAAAAGTAATTTATTACAGGAAGTTCTTTTATGTACTAAAACTATTTCCCAATCAGACTCCTCAATGGTAAAGCATGACTGGATTTAAAGCTCTAAGGGAATTAGTACCAGATTTTACATTATCAACTGCAAATGAGTACTATCACCCACCTCACGCTCCACCCAGTGTGACTGTCCTGGCAGTTTTGTCATTACATACAGTCTTCATCAAGTCCTTCAGTTCATTTCCACTCAGCACTGTGCCTGCCACTACACAGCTACAGAGATGAATAACCAAAGAGGTACCTGTGCAGAACTTAATTGGGTGAATAACTCAAAGAGACAGCAAATGAAAGCTAAGGGCACTAAAAATTCCATTTCAGTAACTGAGCAAGAAATAACCTATGCAGAATTCAATCTTCAAAATGCTTCTCAGGATCATTCAGGGGAATGCAAAGAACTACCACTGCAAAGGTAAAACATTTAAATCACACACAGTGTAACTGTTCTAGAATGTGATCTGGGGCACATTGGTGGAGAGAATGAGTAGGGAATGATGTCCTATATTTTTCATTTGTAAGGATCAGAGCTTGGAGTTGGTAAATAGTATTGTAGACTAATAGACTAATTTTACTCAAGCATTGTTGTAATTCATAGTCTTTGATAACTCATGGAGTATTACCTTTACAGAAAATGTGATGGTATATTCTGAGAGAAGATTTCAATGGTAGATACAGTTTGGGTCCAAGTTTCTATATGTGGACTCCGTGTGCATCGTTGGTTCTCTTGTATGTAAATTTCCTAAATGGTTATTTCCATCCATCCTTTGTCAGTGTTTTCATTTCTGTTCCTAATATTTACTACTATTTCCAGGGAAGATCCTTGCTAGGATGCTGGGAATCATCTGCTTTGTCTTGATGTCCATTGTGATAAGAATAGTTCTTATTCCCCGTAAGTGTTTAAATGACTATCTGGGAAATTTCATTTTAATGATTGTCACTGCCTCAAAGTATCTCATACTGTATGGAATAGATCTTTCATTTTAATGCATGTATGCTATAAAAATGGAATGATTATTCTGAACTTGTCAAAAGTTTAAGTAACAATAGTTGTAGAGAGTATTACACATATATTCAGTTTCATTACTCAGAGAGGTGTTCTAGGAGACACAATGAGAAATAAATACAAACTAATTCTTAAGACTGGTAAACCCAATACTGTAAGAAATGGAGAGGTTTGATTCTTAATAGGCTTTTGAAATATTTTCTCCCAAATCTTCATTTCTTTGTTAATATTGCTTGGTGAAATACATTTTATTACAGAATTTTGTAATTCTAAACAGTACTCCAAGTTCTAAGTTAAGAAACTGAAATCATATATTTATTTCAGTTTAAATTTTTATGATGATTTCTTTAGTTTTTTCAGTTACTGAAATACTGGAGCAGAACAATTCATCCCTGAAAACAAACATTCAAAAGGTATAAAATGATTCTCAAAATTCTGATATTATTGTTGTTTCTATTTGCCTCAAATTTCCTCCTGCTAAAACATGATAAGAAATCATTTTACTATTCTACAGAAGTCGTTTTATTCAGTGCTCTTGCACATGTAGAGATTAATATTTTTGTATGTTTATTTTATATAGGCACATAAATTAGGGAATGACAGGCTAACTATTCTCTGTGAGCATGTGTGAGCATATTTTATTTATATCATCCTGTGAGTGTTCATAGATTTGTATACCTATGTATATACTTATGCAAGTATGTAAAATAATTTGAATTTGTTAATATTCAAATATCTTTTGTAAAATATCTCATAATATCTCTTTAGCTTATCACTGTGGTCATTGTCCAAAAGAGTGGTTTACATATTCCAACCATTGCTATTACATTAGCACTGAAAGAAAACCATGGAATGAGAGTTTGGCATCCTGCGCTTCTAACAACTCTAACCTGCTCTACATAGATGATGAAGAAGAACTGGTAAGATTTCAATGTTCCCAGATTTTATTAAAGCTTATCAATTAATATCTTTCTAGGGCTCATCAATATTTTTATATGTATATGTAGCTTATTTTAAAGTCTGTTAATATTCCATAGCTTGACTCTATATTTTATTTATATTTTTATTCCTTTAATGTACATTTGATAATTTTCAGTATTGCTTTTCATAGAATACCATCCTTCTATAAATGCTCTTTTGCCTGAAATAAAATTTACTAATTAATTTTACCATACAACAAGGAAACTAAACATATGATTGTGCAAATTGATCACAAAATAGTTAGAACCATGTAATTACAAATTGAATCGTGAAATAAAAGTTTAGAGCCTCTATCAGTCCTGTCAACTTCAATATTATGAGATATCTTCACTTACTTTCAGACTTTATATGAATGGAATCATTCAGTACACATTTTTATGTGTGTCTCCTTGCACTTTCATATATTTGTAATCCATATATATTATGACATTTGTCTATAGTTTGTGAATTTTTACTGCTATCTGATATGATTATGATATTTTAAATCTATTCTCAGAAATGTAGTTCCTGTTTAGTATGTGAGTATTATGAATAATTATTTTATGAAAAGCCTTTTCCATGTCTTTTTTCACATATTATATTTATAATGATATATTTATATAAATATTTATTTATATATGATGCATAACTACATAGTATATGTATATTTAGGCATATAAATATTATATTTATCATAATAGAATAATGATCTAGAAATATAACATCATAGTTGTAATTATATATAATTATAATACAATTTCTTCTAAGCATGAGAATGAAATTACATGGTCATAGATATGTGCATATTTCGATTTAGTACATTATTCCAACATTTTTCTAGATTATTGTATAATTTTGCTGCATAGTCAATGATTTTCAATGGAATAATGGACAGTGTCTAAAATATCTTTGTCTTCCTAGCATGGCTTTTATTTGCCATTATTTTGATTGGAGAGAAAAAATATTTTTGAGACTTTTGTCTGTACCTGTTAGTGTCTGAAATTTGCTCTGTCTGGAATATGTGAAGTAAAGAGAAATTCCATGGCATTTGCTGCCATGTCATTCCCTGGATTTGGAGTGCCTGGTTCTGTCAAGTTTCTCATCATCTGTCTAAATCCTCTTATGTTGATATATATATATATCTCTAGTTGTTTCAGCTCTATTTGGTGGGAGGACTAGGGATAAGTATATCCTCTCTATCTTTCAAGAGGGGGAAGTCTGAATTGTAATGGTTTTAATTTGAATTTTCCCAAGAGTAATAGTGTTGAGCGTCTTTTCCTGCACTCATTTGGAATTTTATAGTTTACACTTAGGTTTATGATCAATTCAGAGCATTTTTGCATGTAATGTAGGGTACGTAATTATTAATATTATATGATAGCCAGTTATTACACAACATTTGTTAAGAGTCTATACTTTTTCCACTGAATGACTTTGCATCATTGTTGAAATTTATTCACTATATGCGTGTGAGTAAAAATTTTGCACCTTCTAATATGTTTCATTTGTCTAGTTATGTATTTTATTTCCTTTTCCTTTTTAAAAAATATCTTTTCGTAACAATACATATATATTTATTCTATTTCAGAGTCCTCTTGTCATCTTTCTAGATCTTTTCATGAACATTTTCTGATTTTTATCTTTCTCAAAGTTTTTTTTTCAAAATAAGAATATAGTTTTATCAAATGCATTCTGCATCAGAGAAATCATATGATTTAATTTTTCAAGTTTTTATTTAAAACCAGTTAGTTAGCTTACCATGTAAGATGAGTTTCAAGTGTAGAATTTAGTGATTCATCACTTACATACAACCCCCAGCTCAAGTGCCCTCCTTAATACTCATAACCAATTTAACACATCCCCCTGCCCTCCTCCCCTCCAGTCAGTCTAGTTTGTTCTCTATAGTTAAGAGTATGTTTTCTGGTTTGCCTCTCCTTTTTTCCCCCTATTGTCATCTGTTTTATATCTTAACTTCCACATAGGAGTGAAATCATATGGTGTTTGTCTTTATCTGACTGACTTTATTCACTTTGGATAATTCTCTCTAGCTCTATGTCATTGCAAATGGCAAAATTTCAATTTTTTGGCTCATATTTCATTATATATATCTCCTATTCTTTATCCATTCATCAGCTGAGAGACATTTGGGCTCTTTCCATAATTTGGCTATTATTGGTAAGGCTGCTATAAACATTGGGGAGCATGTATCCCTTTGAATCAGTATTTGTGTGTCCTTTGGGTCAATATCTAGTAGTGTAATTGCTGGATCATAAGGTAGCTCTATTTTTAACTTTCCAATGAGCCTCCAAACTGTTTTATACCGTGGCTGCACCAGTTGTCATTCCCACCAACAGTGAAGAGGATTCCTAGTTCTGTTTCTCCACATCTACACGAGAACCTGTTGCTTCCTGTTTTGTTCCTTTTAGCCATTTTGTCTGGTGTGAGGTGATATCTCATTATAGTTTTGATTTATATTTCCCTGATGAGTGATGTTGAGCACCTTTTCGTGTGTCTGTTAGCCATTTGCAGGTCATCTTTGAAAATATGTCTATTCATGTCTTACACGCATTTTTAACTGGATTGTTTATTTTTTGGGTGTTCAGTTTTATATGTTCTCTATAGATTTTGGATACTAAGCATTTTTCAGTTACGTCATTTGTGAATATTTCTCTCATTCCAAAGGTTACATTTTAGTTTTGAATGTTTCTTTTGTTTTTTTTTATCTTGATGAAGTTCTAATAGTTTATCTTTTCTTTTATTTTCCTTGCCTCAGGAGACATATCAAGTAAGAAATTGCAATGTTCAATGTCAAAGAGGTTACTACCTGTGTTCTCTTTTTCTGCTTCATCAAATATTAGTTGACATATAGTTAAATGTGGGCCCATTTCTTGGTTTTCTATTCTGTTCCACTGATCTGTGTCTATTTTGTGCTGGTACCATTGTGTCTTAATCACAGCTTCTTTAATATATCTTAAAGTTTGAAATTGTGATGCCTCCAGCTTTGCTTTTCTTTTTTAAGTTTACTTTGACTATTCAGGGTCTTTTGTAGTTCCATACAAAATTTAAGAATATTTGTTCTAGCTCAGTGAAAACTGCTATTGGCACCTTGACAGAGATTGCATTGAATGTATAGATTGCCTTGGGTAGTATGGACATTTTAACAATATTTGTTCTTCCAACTCATGACCATGGAATACTTTTTGTTGTTTCTTCTTTTTCTTAAAAAGATATTTATTTATTTATTTATTTATTTATTTATTTATTTATTTAATGTGAGAGGTGGATGGAGGGAGCAGAGGGAGAGGGAGAGAGAGAATCCCAAGCAGACTCCATTCTGAGTGTGAAATGTGATGAGAGGCTTGATCCTACAACCTGGGATTATGACCTGAGCCAGAATCAAGTCAAATGCTTAACCAATTGAGGAACCCTGGTGTTATGGTTTTTTCCATTTCTTTCTTTCATCTTCAAATTCCTTTATCAGTATTATATAGATTTCAGAGTACAGATCCTTTACGTCTTTGGTTAGGTTTATTCCTAGGTATCATGGTTTTGGTGCAGTTGTAATTGGTATTGATTCCTTGATTTCTCTTTCTGCTGCTTCATTATTAGTGTGTAGCAATGTGACAGATTTCTGTACATTGGTTTTGTATCCTGTGACTTTACTGAATTTGTTTTTCAGTTCCAGCAGTTTTTTGGTGGACTCTTTTGGGTTTGAACTATAGAGTATATTGCTTGTGATTTCCCCTCTCTCATTGTGATTTTATTAATTCAGGTCTTTTCTCTTTTTGATAAGTCTGTCTAGTGATTTATCAATTTTATTATTTTTTTCAGAGGACTATTTCCTGGTTTCTTTGCCCTGTTTTATTGTTATTTTTTCTCTATCATTTATGTCTCCCGCAATTTTTATTGCTTCCCTTCTGCTGACTATATGCTCTGTTTGTTGTTCCTTTTCTAGCTCCTTTAGGTGTAAGACTAGGTTGGTTACTGGAGATTATTTTTTGCTTTTTGCGTTAGGCCTATATTGCCATATACCTGCTTTTGGACCATCATGTTTTCTTTATTATTTATTTCTATGTATTCTTTTTATTTCGTTTTTCAATTCCTGCTGGACTAATTCATTATTTAGCAGTATTTCATTTAAACTTGGTGTATTTGGTTTTTTTTTTCCAAGTTTTTTTCTTATGGTTGACTTCAAGTTTCATAGTGTTATATTCAGAAAATATGCACTGAATGATGTCAATCTTCCTCTACTTGCTGAGGCTTATTTTGTGCCCGTTTATGTGATGTATTCTGGAGAATGTCCCATGTGCAATTCTAAAGAATGGCTGCTTTGGGATGAAATGTTCTGAATATATCTGTTAAGTCCATTTGGTCCAGTGTGTCATTCAAAGCCATTGTTTCCTAGTTCCTTTTCTGCTTAGATGATCGTTCATTAGTGTAAGTGGGGTGCTAAAGACCCTTACTATTATTGCATTATTAATGAGTTCCTTTATGTTTGTTACTAGTGGTTTTATTATATATCTGGTTGCTCTCAAGTTGGGAGCATAAATATTTACAAGTTTTAAATATTATTGCTGGATAGCCCTCTTTGCTACTCTATACTACTCTGCATCTCTTGTTATAGTACTGACTTTAAAATCTAATTTGTCTGATACAGGTATAATTTTTCTGGCTTTCTTTTGATGTTGATTTGTATGATAGCTATTTCTCTATTCCCTTACTTTAAATTTTCAAGTCTTTAAGTGTAAAGTGAGTCCCTTGTAGGCAGTATATAGATGGGTTTTTAAAAATTCTTTCTGACATCATATGTATTCTGATTGGAGCATTTAGTTCATTTACATTCAGGGTAATTATTGATAGGTATGTATGTAGTGCCATTTCGTTGCTGGTTTCGTTGTTGTTTCTGGGGATTTCTCTGTTCCTTTCTAGTTTCTGTCACTTTTGGTTTTTTTTTTACTACTCAAAAGAACCCCTTTAATATTTCATGCAGGTCTGATAATGGTCATGAACTTCTTTAGTCATCGTTTGCCTGGGAAACGCTTCATCTTTCCTATTTGGAATGATAGCTTTTCTGGATACAGTATTCTCGGCTGCAGATTTTTCCTATTCAGCAAGTTGAATATAACATGACAATTGGTTCTGGTTTACCAAGATTTTTGTGGAGAGAGCTGCTAACTTTAATTCTCTTCCATTGTAAATTTGGGTCTTTTGTCTTTCTGCTTTTAGATTTTTTATCATTATATTTTGTAAATTTAACTACAATAAGTCTTGGTTGTTTTTGTTGCTTTCCTTGGGAGTTTTCTGTGCTTTTTGGCTTTGAATGTCTGGTTCCTTCCCTAGATTAGGAAAGTATTCAGTTACTACTTCCTCAAACATGCCTTCTCCCAGTTTTTTCTCTTCTTATGGGACTCCTATGATATGAATGTTTTTATATTTGATGGAGTCACATTTTCTACAAGTTTACTCTCATGATCCATTATTCTTTTTCTCTCTTCTGTTCAGCTTCATTAGTTTCCATAATTCTATCTTCTATATTATACATTTCTCTGTGTCTTCTGTCCTTGAAGTTATTACATCTAGTTGATTTTCAAAATCAGTTATTGCATTTTTAATTTCTGACTGATTTTTTTAGCTCTCATTTCTCTGTGGCATGTGTCTCCCTGAGGTCTTCCATGCTTTTTTGAAGCCCAGTGAGTATATGATTGTTGCTTTAAATTCTGTGTCAAGAAGGTGACTTGTATCTTTGTAGATTAGATATCTGGCTGTGATCATTTCTTATTCTTTCTTTTTGGTTGAATTTCTCTGTCTTGGCATTTTGCCTCAGTCTCTGTTCTTCTCTGTCTTATAAAATCCTGTTGTTTCTTCCTCCTGAAAGTAATGGCTTTTGAAGAAGAAGCCATATAATATCCAGAGCCTGGCACTTCAGGACGTGTCTGTAGTGTGTACTGCTTGTGCTCTGCTGCTGTGTTTTGGCTGCTCTATCCCTCAGATCAGACATCTACAGAGTTTCTTCTTGCCTGCAGTGGGCAGTGTTTGGGCTTTGGCCAGGGCAACAAGTATTAACTAGGTAGGTGTGGTTTCATCTGCTTGTTAAATGAGACCTGATGCTATTTCCTCTAGAACTGAAGGATGGCAGAACCCTATGATCAATAGACATGGTGCATGTGGGGATTTGTGTTGATCTTCTGGGGAAAGGGCCCATGGCTCCTGGTCCTTAGGCACCCTTGCCCAAGAGGAGTACCAGCAAGGCACAGTGAGGTGAGACTTGGTGCATGCAGCTTAGGTTGTAGCTGTGCTATTTACTGAGGTTGGTTTATGCTGTGGGGGAGGAGAGGGAAATGGTGCCAGCTAGCTTCTTCATCTCCAGAGAGGGGAGTCTGTGCTTGCTCTCATGGAATCCCTTCCACAACAGTGAACAATTCCCTCTTGCGCATCTCAGGCATTTTTCCAATTGCTGTTTTCACATTGTCTGTCTCCAGGTTGTTTGCCTGCCTGGAGTAGCACATGCACTTTGGACTTTTACTCAGCCAAGCCTGCTGACCTTTAAAGCTCCAATTTTGGGGGGCCTGGTGTAGCAGGGACCTGGCTGGTCTTCTGGGGGATGTTCTTGGCATGCTGGAACTGATGCAGGTTTGACCCATCATGGCAGTCATGCCTGAGCACAGGGGCATGGGATTTGGAGCAAAGCAGGCTAAACAGCCAGTGTCCACGTTAGTTGCCCTCAGCAGGTGTCTCTGTGCCTATGCTGAGGGGTAGAGGAGGGAAATGGATCCTGCCATCTCTTTTGTCTCCAGATGTACCATGACACCTCTCACAGATATGCTGATAGAAGTGAGAACGGATTCTCCCTATGCACCTTAGGAGATACTCAGATCATGCCATCTGTCCCAGGGTTGCTTGCCTGGCTTTTCTCCAAGAGTAGGGCACCATGCTTAGGTCTCTATTCAAGCAGAGCCTACTGACTGTTAAAATAACAGTCTTCGGGCTGCACTGATGGCAAAAACTCATGAAAATCAACCCCTCTTGTTTTCTCAGTCAATAGCTTTGGGGAAGTATTCTCCTTGTTCACTCCCCTGTGCATTCCTCTCTCTATTACGTTTCTCCATGACCAGGACTCCCACCTCTCTGCAGCACCTATGACCTGTTTCTCCCCCAAACCACATCTCTACACTTGATATCTTTTTCATTGTGTTCTCTACACTCCCTCTAGTTATGCAGTTTGTTCTATCAGTCTTCAGGACAATTTCTTGGATATTCAGATCTTTTGCTAGTCATCTAGTTGTCTTCAAGTGATGATGCAACCCTAGGGTCATTTTACTATACCATCACCTTAGTTCCTACCCCCCAAGAAGGCATATCATTTTATCTTCTTTACTCTGCTACTATGATGGATTAATTTTATGGGATTTTAAATGTACACTTAGCATGGTATTGCTTCAGTACATCTCCGTATGTCATGGTCTATATTTTTTATTTATTGTTAAAATCTATCTATAATTGCCACGGACATGTAGTTTCCTTTTTTAAAAAATCCCTTCAAAACTACATATTTTTTCCTACCCCACAGGAACTTTCTTTTTAAACAAATTGAAATTATATATTTCTTTATACAGAAACATCTAAATGCTCCATAACCATGTGGAAAGTTTTTTGACTTGCATATATAATCCTGTTAGAAATCATAAGATATATCTGGTATTTTTATTTCTTTTTGTTTTGGCTTTTACAAGTTGTAGTTTTTAGGAATTTTTTTCTCTTTTATATCTATTTTTAAAGGTATTTGCATATTTTCAAAATATTATATTTTGGTAATTTTACTGAAGTATAATATGCATACAGATGAAAGCACATGCTAACATGCCAACAGGTGACTGAATGTTCAAGTATCACCATGGCACAGAATGAGGACATGAATTGCAAAATGTCCCTGTCATGTTCTTTTCTGAAAAAAGCACTTCAATTACATGGAATATTATAGTATGTATACTTTATTTTTGGCTTTCTCAGGTAAAGCTAAACTTGTGTGATTCATCCATATAGTTGCATGAAATTGTCCATAGCTCCTTGTTCCATTATCTGATTGTACTACAATGTAAAATCCATTCCGATGATGATACCATTGGATATTTGAGTATTGTCCCATTTGAGGCTACCATGAATTATATTTTACTATACATATTTCAGCACCAGCTAAAATATGTGTTTATCATTTTTTCCTTCTATAGCTTCAATTAAATTGTTCTTCTAGCTTCCTGAGAGGTGAGGTCCTCAGATCATTCATTTCATAACATTCTTCATGTTGAGTAAAACTGATAAAGCTATGAAATTATCTCTAAACACTATTTTCGTTCCAGCCTAAATGTTTTGATATATTCTCAGTTTAATATCTGATATAATTAATCATTAATAATAATTAATATCATTCCAGTACAAGGTAATTTATATCATCCAGTACAGGTATTTTCAAAAGTTTCATCTTTGAATTGTAAATTTTCAGAAGTATATCACTTTCCAAACTGAAAAATTTCCATATTTCTTTCTGTTGTTGATTTCTAATTTACTTTTTTTCTTTAGAGAATGTTCTTTGAATTATTTCACTTATTTAATGTTTTTAAATATTTATTTATTTATTTTAGATGGAAGTGAGGCAGAGGGAGAGGAGAACAAGTCTTAAGCAGACTGCACTGAGCATAGGCCCAATGGGGGGCTGGATCTCAAGCGCTGAGATCACAACGTTAGCAGAAACCAAGAGTTCAATGCTTAACCAACTTCACCACCCAGGGACCTGTCACTTATTTAAATTTTTATATCATTCATGAACTAGAGGGATACTTTCTACATTTGTCAGTTACATCAAGCTGGATTCTAGCGTTTTTACACTCTTCCATAGTCCTTCTTATTTTGCGGCTAGTGTTCTATCACTTATTGAGGGAAGAGCTTTTAAATCTCCAACTGTACTCATTGAATTGTTTATTTATCCTCCTAAATCTGTCAGTTTCTACTTCATGCTTTTGAGGATTCTGTTGTTAGGTAAATAATATATCTTTTTTAAGAAAAGATTTTATTTATTTATTCATGAGAGTCACAGAGAGAGAGAAGCAGGCTCCATGCAGTTAGCCCGATATGGGACTTGATCCCAGGACTCCAGGATCATGCCCTGGGCCAAAGGCGGACACTCAACCACTGAACCACCCAGGCATCCCAATATATTTTTATAATAGTTTTCTCTTCCCTTTATCCTGATAGCTTTACTATTTTGAATTTTTAAAATCCTGATAATATTTCTTTTTTAATAGCTACTTTATCTGATATTAGAATAGCCATTTCTGCTCACTTATGATCACTGTTTTTAGGGTATCTTATTTTAATTTCACCTATCTGTGCCTTTAAATCTAAAGTGTGTCTATTGTATATAGCATATAGATGGATCTTATATTTTTATTCAGAATGATAATTGCTATTTCTATTCTATTCATATTTCTATTCTATTTCTATCTCTTCTTATTTATACTCTATTCATAATTCTAATTTCTTTTTCTATTTCTATAATTTCTATAATTTCTTCTGATTATAGTATTTATTTCATTCACATTAATGCAATTATTTGTATACTTGAATTTAAGTCTGTCATTTTGCTGTATGTTCTATGGATATGTCATTTTTTTCTTCCATCTTAACTGATATCTTTTGTATTAAACACATATTATTTTAGTGTCCATTTTAATTCCTTTGTTGATATCATAGCTCTAATTTTAAATTATATTCTTGTAATTCCTGTAAGTAGAACAAATGTATCTTCTGTTTGTTTTTATTGAGATATAACTTACATATAGCATTGCATATATTGCAATATGATTACCGTCATAATATTAGCTAACACCTTTGTCATGTCACATGTTTATCATTTCTTTTTTGTGTTGGAGACAGTTAAGATTTAGTCTCTTTGCAACTTTGAAGTTCTAATATGCTAATGCTGACTACAATCACTATGTTGTACATCAGGTCTACAGAACTTATTTATCTTCCAGTTGTAACTTTGTACACTTAAACAACATCTCCCCAGTTTCCCCACCTCTTAGGCCCAGGTAAACAACATCTGACTGTATTTTTACAAGTTCAAGTTTTTTAGATTCTACATACAAGTAAGATCACACAGTATTTGTGTATGTCTGTCTAATGTATGTCACTTAGTACAATGCTTCCAAGGTCCATCCATTTGTCACGAATAGCAAGATTTATTTTTGGGGGACGGCTGAGTAACATTCATGTTTTTGTGATATATATATATATATATATATCTTCTTAACCCTTTATCTGTTGGCAGACATGTGTTTGCTTTCATTTCTTGGCTGTTGTAAGTAATGTAATGAGCATGGCTGTGCAGATATTTCTTTCAGATACTGATTTCAGTTCCTTTTAATATATACCAAAGAATGTGATTACTGAATTATATGATAGTTCTGTTTTTAATTTTCTTTGGAAATTACCATATTATTTTCCATTGTGTCCACAACAATTTATTTTCCCACCAAAAGTCTTCCTTTTCTTCACATTGTACCAATATTTGTTATCTTTTCTCTTTTTGATAAAACCCATTCTACTAGATGTGAGGTGATCATATCATTGCTTTATACTCATTGATTTGCATTTCCCTGAAGAATTGTGTGGTTGAACACCTTTTCCTGTACCTATTGCCCATTTGTATGTCCCCAGAAAAATGTCTACTCAGGTCCTTTGCCCATTTTTAAAATTGGATTATTTTCTTTTTTATTATAGTGTTATATGAGTTCTTTATATATTTTGGAAATTAGTCCTTTATCAGATATATGGTTTGCAATTATATTCTCTCATTCTATGCTGTCTTTTCAATTTTTTGACTTTCCTTTGCTGTGCAGAATCTCCTTATTTAATGTAGTCTCATATTTTTATTTTGCTTTTTTGATGTCTGTGCTTTTGGTGACTTATCCTAGACAGCATTGCCTAAATCATTGTCAGGGATCTTTTTTTCTTTTGCTTGTACCAGTGATTTTACACTTTTCATATATTTTTATTTTATTAATTTGTGTGGGTTTTATTGTTTGTTTTGGCTTAAAGAATTCCCTTTAGCATTTCTGTCGGGTACATCTAGTGCTTATAAATTCCTTATGCTGCACGGCTTTAACAGATACCAGCGGAGTCATGATGCTGCTATCCTGTGATTGCCATCCAAGGCCATTGAAACTTTGATTCACCATCCCCTGAGATGGTGTGAAAATCTTTATCTCTCCTTTATTTATGAATGGTAGCTTTGCTGAGTAAGGCATTCTTGGTTGACAGCTATTTTTTTCTCCTTTGATCTCTTTAAAATATTATCTCAACTTCTGGGGAAGTGCCAAGTAAGAAGCTTACCTCATCTCATGGATACAACCAGGTAACACCCACATCACTGTTAATAACCTAGAAAATGACCCAGAGACTTGTAGAAAAGACTATCTACTGCTGATTATAGGGAAGAGGCTACCTCCAAGAAGATAGGAATCCAGAGATTCAGTCAGGAGCTAAGCAGACCTGCAGAACTGTTCATGGGAAGCAGGGC